TCCTTATGATTTTTACCTGTGTTCTCCTGTTCTCTTATTACTACAACCATCTTTGCAACAGATGGACATTTTCAACGTATGATCAAAAGATTTTGATTATACCACATGAAAAGTGAATGATCACCTGATTTACTTGGTACTAATATGTGCAATAAATATTAATGTCCCCTTTAAATAATAATAAAAAGAGAAATTAAGATAGAAAATAATTAAAAGGTTTGTATGAGTTACTATGGACAAAAATTTTGCATTTTCCTTTGAAAAAGCTATGCTTCAAAGTAAATACTTTTTCAGGATCCTAAAACATGCCTCTGGCAAATGGAATTCATATGTCTATATATATGTGTGCAGTGAACACAGAGAAGCTGTAATTTTGTTCTCTTGCTATAAGCATATACAATACATAAATTATTCTTTGTCCATGTCACTATTTAAACTGAGACGTTAACCTGATTTCATATTTGAAGGTGAAGGTGCATGGTATCTTCATTTTTTCACAATATTTTCCCAAATCAGAAGTTACCCTCTCCTCTCTCCCACCCTGGATGCAATTTTAAAATTTGAGAGCTTGATTCTATTTTTCCTTACTCTGGCATAAATTAATTGCACTGAGGCCAGTGCAGTTACACAAGTGAAGTGAGAAAAGAACCAAGCACCATATGGTTTTAGTTCCTACTGATTGCAAGATTGCTTTGATTACATTAATATTAGCATTATGACAAAGCACCGCAATCCAAAAAGCATGGAGGAGACAGAAAAAATATCTCAGCCTTTAATATATTTCAAAGAAAACAAATAACCCTGTTATTAGCCACTGAAACAGACTCCTTTGGTTAAACAAGTAGTTCCAGCCTTCAACTGGTTGTTGTATCTCAAGAATGACTTTTAAATTGTGTAGCGCATTAATTTAATATAATGGGCTTGAAAAATAGCCCCAAACCCCTAACTGTACAACAGGCACTGGCCAATAAAATATAACAGTTCATGACTGTATTTTACACTGATTATAGGTGTACGATGAAATGCAGCTCAGCATATACACAGTGAGTGATTTTATGATAGGCACTTATTTTTCAAGATGTTCACTAAAACGAAATGCATGTGAGATGGCTGTGTTTGGTAAACTTCCTTTAGATCATTCTCAGCTAAAACACTGTACCGCACAGGAAGCTGACTGGTTATATGAGAGCAAAGTTGCTGCAGGATGTTTGCCTCCCTCTTCAGCATGTGTCTGGGTTTTCTGTGAGAAGGAAGAGGATGAGGAAAACATAAAAGATAGTTTCTCAATTAGACAAGGGGTTGAGCTAGAAATAACATATATTTCTAGTTTCTTTTACATTTGACTTTCAAATATAACTTTTGTTAGTTCAAATGTGCCTTATTTTTAATATCTAAGTTAAGACCTCAGGGCCAGTTAGGGTTCCTGAACTAGACGTTCTTGTACTTAAATCTAATTCAGACCTAATTCAGCAAGTGCTAAGAATTGCTCAGAGTACATCTACAATAGGCTGACAACACGGTCAACACAGCAACAGCAGCCACACAAATCAAGGAAATGGTTTTGGTTTGCAAAAGGGTGCAATTCATATGCCTGAAATGTAGGCCAAAAGATGTCTTCTGGTGTCCTGTCTGGCCTCCCGTTGCTGATCCAGAAGACCTCAGGTCTCCTGTAGATCATGTCATGCCTGCCAGCATTGCGTGGATGTCCCTTTTAATCTGGGGCATCTCAAATGCTGCAGGCTTTGTTTAAGCTTCTTGAAATTACATGCTAGATGACAACTGATTATAATGGGAGCTTAGACACCTAACTCAGGTGCATTATGTAGATTACTTTGGATTTGATACCCAATGAACAACAGGAAAACACCAATCTGGAAGGCATATAGGTTTTCTAGACATTCCTCTTTCTTCGGTGCAGCCTTCCAGTTTGCTTAAGGTTTGGTCATTCCTGGTCAGCATCCAGGCTATTTTGAACCCCTGCCCTAGTTGCTTAATTCTCCCCATTTGCTTATGCAGGAAATTAATTTGGTTTGCAAACTCTAGAATCAGATTGCCTTACTTGATGAAGGTCAAGTAAGGCAATGGTCCTCTCTGATAAGACACCTTACGTTTTGTCTTAGCTATTGTTTACATCTCTGTGTAAATACGTAAGTTCCATTTTGGCCAATTGACCACCAGAACACACATTCCTATCAAACTAGGTCTTCTCTTCTTTGCAAGTGTCTGAGAAAAATCATCATTACTTAAAAGCTTCTTATCACTCTATCACCCTTTTTGGGCAATTATTCTAAACCCTGTTGCACTACTGGAAAATTTCCTTTAAGAATAAAAATTAGCAGACATAATTTGCCATGTGTAGGTGTTAAAACTACACTTCATTCTGCTCTTTGGAAAAAGCATGGTTTGAGCCCAGAAATACCCTGAAATGCTTGCCCAATTCTCTATATAGTGTGTATTCCAAAGAGATTACCCTGCCTTTTGTCTCCTTTTCAATCTCCCTTCCTAAACTGAGTCTAGGGAAAGCTGCCTTTATCTAGGCCACCAGAGGCACAGTCCCTCTCTGTCTAGCTGGGGTATGGTAGAAGTTGTGACTGAAAACTTGGCTGCAGTGTGGAAGACAGAGCAATACAAAACTCTACAACTAGGAGTTGTAGAGTGCTAACTCTCCCAGAGGTGCTAACTCTGTACGGGCATGCTTGGGGCAGGCCTCACTGGCAAGACTGATCAGCTTGGGCTCAACGTTGTACTGACATGATGGTTCTGCTTCCAGCCTGGGAAGTAATCTATCTGCTGCTACCTAAAGGGTCTTTGCACCACACTGATGATAGATGATAAGATATGTATGATAAATGCAAAAATGACCTAAGACATGTCCTAAAGATAGCAGTTGCTTCAATTGCTATTGTAACTCATAAAATATGTTAAAAGTGATTTCACCCAGAGTGTGATAATATAATGCAATGTATTACAGCTTTTGCAAAGTGGTTGACTTAGTACCCCAAGACATTCTCATAGAAAAAGGTACACACAATTAACAGAGTGTATGCTAAATGGATTAAGAAATCAGTCAATGGCAGATTTCAAGACACAGTTACTGAAGAATGGTCACTGAATTTCTAGTGTAATTCCACAGTGAACAGTAATAGACTGAATGCAATCCAATAATTTTCATCAAAACCAGAAGTAAACAGCTAAGGAACTGTGTACATGAACCAAAATGGCAAAATAGTAAAGAGTGATGACAACAACACATTCATACAGAAATCCGGACAGCATGGGAACTTAAGCCATTCAAACCAACGGTGCTTCGTCATAGCCACAGGCAAAATTATACACTAAGGAAAAAAGAGACATGCCACACAGATCAGGATGGGACACTGGATCCTGGAAAGCAAGGACTCCAGGAAGGATTTGGAGCTGGTGTTGGACAGACAAGATGAACACCATTTTATAGCCCAGTGCAAGGAAATAAATGGCTAATGAAAGCCTTTCATGAATAGTGCTGGGAGTAGTAAGTGTGGGGAGGAGAGACTACCTCTGCAGACAGCAGGGTTGAAACACTGCATATAGTTATAGTGTCTACAGTCCTAAAGGAATTCTCAGAAGTTGGAGAGGTGAAGAGAAGAGCTGTTGAAATTATTTAAGACCTGAAGAAAATGCTATCACAGAGAAATTCAAGGTGCTCAGTCTGTTTAGCATTTGATCAGTCACTTGACTGATATATATGCATTTCTTAATGGGGAGAACATATCAGGCACAAAAAGACTCTTTAATCTAGACAAAGGTTATAGAAGGAAACAATGGCCAGACCCCAAAACCAGATAAATATAGATTAAAAATTAGGCAAAAAAAATGTCAACAGTGCAGGTGATTAATCATGAGAACAAAGATCCGGCAGGATCTTTGTTCCATCCGGAGGATGGATCCTCCACCTCTAGATTCCATTTGATCAAGACTGGAATAGATGCTTCATACAAACAAAAATGGTGATACCCATGAGTTCACACTAGCTGATATGTCCATATTATTGAAAACCAGCAGATCGGAGGTCCACTCCTTCAGGCAGCTTTTCTCACAGTGCACAGATAATATAGCGTAGGCATTGCTTTTTTTAAAAGACACAATAATGGTTGCACTGACTATGTGACAAGATACTGTTGATGTTTAATCCTTACTATTCCCCAAGTTCATTTTTTAATTAAAAAGACAAGAATACAATGACAGTGTTTAAATCATAACCTTGCAAAGACACTATCCAAGTCCTTGATGTTTATTCATATGTTCTACTTCATACACTGTGCACTAAGGCACTACTTAAATTACAAAACTAACAAGAAACAGATGTGCAGACCATGTCTGAGTTCGTAGATGGAATCAACACTGAGTAAAAGTTGAATCAGCCTGATCCATGCAAGCTCCCTTCCCCTCTTTACAAATCATCCAGACCACTCTAAACCTGAGCATGCTGCATTTCTCATTGCTTATTCATCTGTATGTGTCACAGCTTCCCCTGTCTCCCAAAAAGTGGAACTTCCCTAGCAATTGGTCTGTGGACCACTGTGGACAACCTACTATTCTTAGTTACTTTCTCTCTTAGTGGCAGTTGACAAAGGAATGAGATGCAGAGGCAACAGGCACTAGGAACTATAGGATTATTGCAAGCTGATGTCTTGAGCCTGCACCATGTAGTTACGCTTATAGGACACTACTAAAAGTGGTAGCCTAATTGGGGGCACCAGTAGAAACAGTTTGATTTTTGGAAGATTGGCAGTGCTTCCAGGATTGAGCTGGACTGCTGCTGAAGTGTCCTGTGTGCATTACGAGTCTTCAGAAAGATTTTAAGATAAACCCTAATTCTCAGCACAGTCACTGCTGAAGAGCTACCTCTCCAATTTTGGATGGGAATGGTGTGCCCATCTCTGGATAGTGTGCAAGAGGAAAGTATTCAGTCCAAGATCTCCAAGGAGTGTGGGAAAGAAGAAAGGAAGTTATCTGCTCACCTGAAATTTTTATTTGAGCTACTTCTCCGTCTCCTCCTTCACTGTGTGCTCGGACCTCAACGACATATTCACCATCACTGGGGACTGGGACCTCTATTGTGTGCTTTCCCGTTGAAAACAACTTGCCTTCATGTTGTCCATCTGGTCTATACAGTACCTAGGAAAGTCATAGTAAGTATAGTTACTGAAATGCTACATTTCCATGAAAACAGTTGCTTATATACAGTGTGTAAATTAAAAAGTATTAGGTTTTCATTTATATATGAAACCTATATATATCAAAACTTAGTGGCAGATACTACTTTTTCCATTTTTACGTAGGGTGAATCTAGACAGGTTGCTTCCTCATTGTTTTTCTGTTATAAAATTATGCCACCTTTTGAAAAATAATTTCAGCCCCTACATTCAAAATAAGTAATTAAATGATGAAGGATAATAATGCAGGTTGGCAATGAGCATCAAATAAAAATCTCAGAACTCAGTTGGGCCTTCTGACATAAGATTTATTACCATTTTCATAAATGAAACTATTATTAATTTTATTATTAACTCTCAGTGCTGTTAAACTATTGCAAATTCGATGGTATATGTCTTGTGGGACCTTTAGAAAAGATCTCTACTCTTTCTGGAATCATCTCTGTGAAACATTTTCAGCAATTCCCAGGAAGCAGTTCAACTCCTCAAGCAAAATTTGTACGTGTAGAGCATGACACTAATTTTCTTACTGTCAAGTCAAGCAAGCAGCAAAGTTAAACAGGAATTAATTTTTTAAGTTTTCTATACAGCCTATAGTTAGTATATACACTTGCTCTAGTTATACAGTAATTGCATCTAATGAGGTTAAGTGTCCCTTCTCTTCCTCTACCTTCCCAGAACTGTAGTTCCCATGGAGGTGGGAAAGGAAAGCTGGAACAATGCATACTGGTATAAGGAAAAACTATTATAGTGTACATTTTTTTTCAGTGTTATTTTTAGCCAATAGACAATAAATGTAATCGTATGGGAAGTTAGGTTGCTGCAGTCCCTGATCTAAAGTTTCCCATAAAATGGCTCACCACTCAAATGAATTTCAGTGCTCCAATGTTTTCTCATCATATCGACTAAGCCCACTGGCTTTTTCCTAAGCCTACTGGATGTCTGTGATCTCTGAGCATGAAACCTTCATCTTTAGCATGCAACTATGTTCAAGTTTGAGTAGGTACCAAAATTCAACACTGTCTATAAAATATACCTCATGTAGTATACACAAAGATAAAAAATATTTTCATAGATCATACTTTGTATCCTTCAACTGCAGACTCATTTGACATTGCCTTCACATGATCCCAGGTGATGATGTACCTTGAACCAGATCTTACAGAACTGATAATTCTTGGACGTTGGCTTGGAGCTGAAAAGCAACATATGTATAATGTGCACATAAATGAGATTTCATAATCATTCAATGCCATTTTTATTAAGACATGTGAAAATGTAAAAAGGGAAATTATGGCTGACCTTATATGATTAAAGGATAGTCTCCTTCCTAGAATGAATGCTACAGCTTCAGCCAGGCAATTTTGTACGGCTTGTGCAGTGGCTGCTTTGTGGGTTTGCCTTTCTGTGTTGCCAGAATGGATGTGGCCAACATTACCCTTCACTATGTTGCTGACCGTGTGTGTTTGCTGGCATGCAACTATAACTATGTTCAGAACCTCCCAGAAATGTGGCTTAAGTCATATTTATTCATTGAGATTAAATATTTAATTAACCATTTAAAGGCATTTCTACAGCATTTAACTCAGTAGAAATCAGAGTACCCCCCTGCAGAAACCATTAATTATATTTCACACAATAAGCTTATAAAAATGGAGTCGTCTTATTCAACACAAATGAACCCTGCAGGTCCAAGTTGCACAATACACTATTTACTGACAGAAATACTCAAATTAGTTGTACATATTTTTAGCCCATATAAGTGTGTTTTAAATACACAAGATGGGCGCCACTGACCTGATGGGGAGCTGGAGCACTTGTCCTCTGAAGGGAGGGTGAGAAAGCTGGGCTTGTTCACCCTGGAGAAGAGAGGGGTGAACAAGGGGAGGGGGCCCAAGAGCCACCTGTCTGTTCTTATAGGTTATTAAGAAGACGGAGCCAGGCTCTTCAAAATGGTGCATGGCAGGAGGATCAGTGACAAAAGGTACAAACTTAATTAAAAGAAAGAAGCTCAGACTAGATGCTAGGAAAAACAGTCAGGGAGTGGAACAGGTTTCCCAGGGAGGGAGGTCATGCGGTCTCTATCCCTGGAGGTTTTCAAGACCCAACTGGATCAAGACCCTGAGCAACCTGGTCTGAGCTTGTAGCTGACCCTGCTTTGAGCAGAAGGTTGGACCTTCCAAGTCCCTTCCAGCCTGAATTATCCTATGAGACTATAATCTGTGTCTCCTTACCACCTTTTATAAGATATCCACATTGTTCATGGCAACAAAAGTGAAAAGGAGAGCCTTGGTAGAACTTTTCAGACCAAGAACCAATACAACATAAACGGAGAACATTGGGTATATGAATGAGAAGCCAAGTCTGAAGACATGATGGACATGATGCAACATGCAATAATGAAGTACATGATGTTATACATAACCTAGTGCTCCATTTACTTACGTGCTTTCCTGGTAATAATATCGATGGTTCTACTGGGAGGTCCATAGCCTGCACTATTGAAGGCAGAAACATCTACATGGTAGCGAGTATTAGGCTTCAGGTTTTCCAGTTTGGTTGAATATTCTTGATTGCTCACTTGTATCCGCTGTGCAGCTGCTTCTTTATCATGAGCAGCCCAGTAACGAATCTGTAAGTAAGCAAATTGAATTATTAAATTTAGCATATTTAGTAAAAAAGAAAGTTTATAAAAAATTATGTACGCTGGGTATTTCTATACTACATACTCTGGGTAATAAGCGAGCTCAAAGAAATCTAACAGCAACAGCATGGAATGCCTGCTACAGGCTGTGATTTTAACCAAGTTGTATATAGACATAAAGAAACAGAAACAAATTCAGATTTTTATTATGAAACCTTTTCTCACAGTTGTTTAGCTTGTTTTCAGCTAAGATAATGGATAATGCCTTCAGAGAACAAGACTATTTTCTGCTTGCTGTTTTGTTTGAGCATTTTACTCTGAACTTTAATATTGTTTTCCTACACTAGTGTAGATTAAACTCTGCTAATGTTTTCACAATATTTTTTTTAAAATGTCTTACAAGTTTAATCCTTTTGTACTTCTACCTAGGGAATGAGAAGTATTCAGTCATGTTGTCAGTATGTGCGGGTCTAGATACGTGTACTTAACCATTTTCTAAAGTTCTTTGGCTAAATTCAATCAGATTTCATAGTACAATATGACATTTGTCAAAGTAGATGAGAAAGAACCTGAAAAAGCTTGAACTATGGGAAAAGCATCAATGTAAGTGTGTAACATCTTAAAATCCAAAGTCAATTAACTGTACATAGAAATTCTGTGAGGTTTCTTTCCCAATAAATTGCTCCATTCTACTTTAATTCATTACACATTACAAAGCACCAGTTTAAAAGAGAGTAATTCCTACGGAGTGATGCCATTCCATAGGTGTGTCACATACACAGGGTCCTATTCTGCATGGCCTTGTGAGATGGAAATGAGAGTAAAACACTGTCAGTCTCTGGGTTTTGTCTGGTTCATAGCTGTTTGCATAAGACTAAATTACTGCACTAACCTGAAAGAGTGGAAAGCCATGCCCATTACATTTTGGTTTTGAGTGTTTTTACTCTCAGCATTTCTGCTCTGCTTCTGCCTGTCTTCGTAATGATTTTTGGGTATGCTACATGAGGACCTTTTAAAATCTTTTTAGGAAGAGGTTAATGTTGTTGGTAATTTCAGGCTCTAGGAAAAATCTTGCTTTGTAAGATTTGACTAGTGACATCAGGTATCCTGTTATTTTATCTTTTAAATAGCAACCACTTTAACTTCTGTTCTGCTGACATAAGTTTTCCTTGGAAACTTAATTTAAGGAATAGGTTAGAAGAGCGGATAGTTTTTCAAGGTGTTAATATCACAGTTCTCCTCTTTACAAACTATGGGCACAACCTTTGCTTGGCAACGCCTTATTTTCTCCTGTTCACATTTATATTAAAATGCTTAATAAAAACATTTGTTTTACCTCAGACCATGTACTGTGGCTGAACGAGGAGACATGCGGCAGAGGATTTCACTTTATCTACTTCAAATGTCTTTGGACATGGTAACAGTCAACATCACTACACAGAGGTTACTCGCATTTAAATACTGAAGTCTCTCGTCAGAGTTTGTTGCCTCAGTCTTGCCCACCAGTGTTAGAGGTTACTCATACTCTGGTTATTATAAATGTGACAATATCATAATGGCTTTTCTCATTCTTTCCTGGTGTAGAGAGAATCATATTGTATCTGCAGGCCAAACTGGCTCCCATTTTTAAATACAGCATGCATACCTGCCTTTCAGCAGGCACGAATGGGTAATTTTTAGTTATACAGATGTATGTCCTGCACAGTGTTTTGGAAGTTTAATCCACTAGCATCCTAAACATCAGTTTACTGTAATTTAGGCACTTACACTCACAAACTTCCCACTTATCAAGGTGGCTATTTTACTGAGTCAACAGCTTTTGCCCAAAATGAGTGAGGAATGTGCACCCAATCCATCCTGCAGGCTTCTCCAGCAAGGTGGTAACCTCCACTTGATGAATGGTTTCAAACTGGTGTGGATCTGAGACTGTCACAGACATTTCAGCTGAAGGTGTGATTATGATCCTCAAGTCAGATTTTTTTTTAATATGATTATAATTAACAAACTGTTGTAGATCAGCTGCTGTTGTTGAATGCAACCAGCTGTATACCATAAGCTGCTAACTACAAGTGGCTGACTCAAGTGTGAGGGGCATGTACATCAGGAGCTAGAGGACGTCATGTCTATCTCTGTCCCTAAGTTCAAACAAGTTTCTAGCCTGCAGCAGAGGGATGTCTGTGAAGTTCTAGGTGGCCAAAAGTTTCTTAGCTACAACAGGACCAATGGTAGCTTTGTTGTTGATATTAACTCGCCATTGAAGACTAATTAATTCATTTTTAGTATGTTCTATTATGTTAATTAAGTACCTGCTTTACCTGAAGATGGCAAACACACTTTATGGGAAGGTTTTGTTAATCATGGGGCATATGCTGGAAGCCTTTGCATACCTCTGACTTGCAAAACTTTCTACAATCTTACTAGTTCATTTGCACTACAGTGGTGCTAAGGGCGTAATATAACAAGTAATATATAGCATCAAACAAGACAAGCGAGAACAATGAATGAAAATGTAAATTACTTCACTGAGAGCATATTACATTTCAGGCAGAAGTAATATAATTTAAAAATTAAATTAAATTTAAATCCCAAATACTATTGTTCTTGGCAGCAATGTTGTGGACTTAACTAATCCTATAGTGTGTGAGCTGTGCGTCACTCTCTCAGAATGTTCTTCTTTACCTCTTAATTTAATATACAGTCATATCTACGTATTTGGATCATTGTAACTACTCTTGGAAAAGAAGAAAATTGAAATAAGATGACTCTCTTGAGGGCTAAGAAAAAGTACTGTCTTCTTTACGCTATTCCAACATTTCTCTTGTCACTTATAATTTAAATACTTTAAAAGTCTTTTGAAATAACTTGGAAATTTATTTCACTCTCTTGCCTCTGTGGCAGTGATACCAGAATTAATTGCCCCATTGCTTCAAGATACAACATTTTCCCACTTTGCTGAGTAGTCCCTCTCTCTTTTTATTAAAAAGCTTAGATAATAACCCCAGTCTGCTTTTTTCTGGGGACACAGAAGGAGGACCCAGGGGGTATTTCACAGGAGGGTATTTCACCCTAGCTCTAGAGTTTGTTGTAGGTGATAAACCAGCAGTGATCTGTGGGAAAGGAATGCCTTAGCCATCATGAATTAGTGCAGCCCTCCATGATGAAATCAGGGAAAAGCACTCTCTTTCATGGTCCTCTCCTCTATTCAAATTTTAATATACTGAAATACATCAGAAGTTGTTTCTGTAAGTGTCATGAAACAACAGCTCTCATATTCATGGAAGTTTTTCATAGGAGAGACATAAAACATACTTTACTCATATTAAGAAAGAATGCTAATAGCGTACTTCAGTAAACAAGGGACAATGGTGGTGAGTAGTGATAAATTTGTTTAATAAAATAAACATATATCTATTGCATAGAAGCAGCAGGAAATACAGATAGTGTCTTCAGTATTGCATGCACTGAAGAGCTGTGGCTTTTAGCAGGCTATTGCAAGAACTCATAAATCTTAAATTCTCTATATGGATGGAGATAGTTTTCATACTTTATCTCTTCTTTAAGTGTCAGCTGAAGATACTCCTCTGTAATGGCAAAATGTATCAGCTCACACTCATCACCATGAGGGCAGCCATCCTGACAGTATGCATTAGTGTCAAGAAAATCTGACTCCTCCTGGTGTGAAAAGTGTTGTGTCACAGGTGAAATACCTTCAGGTACTTTGCTCAGGGTACTCCCACCTCTTAAACTTTAGCATTTAAAAGGTCAATTATGCAATTTTCAGGTAATAATGAAGACCAAAATGAAACTGAGAAGGTGTTCTGGTGAATGAGGGATTTTGCTAACCTGGGTTACAGCTCAGCAGTAATTAAATAAATATTGGAATATTTCCTGATGCCTATAGAGATAGAGCCTTCCAGACATATCCATTGGAATTTTATAATGTAGTTTGAGTGCTTCTTCCCCCACACTTGTATTGTAACTTCACAGAAGCTATCTAGAGCCTTGACCTTCCAGAAGAGCCCTCTCTATTTTTGCCCTGTCCCATGGCTCCTTCAGCACTAATGGGAGATGTGATCTTCAGGAGCGCAAGACTTTCTTTTTGCCCTCAGTGTAGAAGCGCAGGTTTGCCCTTTGC